AAATTCCCAAAATTCTCTGAAAAAATGATCTGGGTCTGAGTTGATGCAGAGATCTACTAGTATATGGAAGTATTATAGGACAAGAGTAGGTTTGTTTCAGATACCTTTCCCAAAAGGAGGAAGAGCCTTCATGTCCCAGACCTCAATATGGGATATCAAACCCAGAAAGAATATCTTATGTCTAATTGGCCACTGTCACCTGTAATTTGGGCTCTGATTTATGATGGCCCTTTTATGTCTCCCATATACAAGGAGGCTGGTGGGCAGAAATTACTGGGAAATACCTGATCTTGAGCATATATCTTGCATGAAAACTGCTGTTTGAAATTTTAACCCTGCTATTTGGCTTTTGTGGATTTAACCTTCCCCAGACAAGGTCATCAGTGCTGGCACCAGGCCAGGCCTCTGGTTGAGGTCTCAAGGCCTAAGTACACACTGGCTCTTTAAGAACTTTCAAAAGGGGATCTGAAACACTCCATATTTGGGAGACAAAGAGGGTAGAATCATATAAATAGGGAGAATTCCTGCATGTTGGGGCCCAGAACTTGAGATACATTTTCCTCTGGACCCGCACGTAATAAATGTAACTCCATCTCTCTAAGTATTGCTTTGTTCTTCAGTTTTCTGTAACAATCTGTTTTCTACTGAGAGCTGCAGAAAAAACTTCAATCATACTGTTATAAACAAACAAATAAAATGGAATAAATGGGGAGAAGGAAAATCTATTATGGGAAAATGCCAACTAATAATTATAAAAGGAATGATCTACCATTTGGCAAATTGTTATTTAGCAAACATCATCATAATATTTTTAGCCATGAGTCACCCACGGATACTAAAACTAATGAGTAAACATTTGAGGAGAAAAGGCTATCTAGATATTCAATCTAATTCCCCACCCAAAGTTTCTATTAATTACTAAAGAAAATAGTAAATTTACAGTGAAGAAATCTGGTTGATAATCTCCTTAATCAACTGATTGAAGTTAGCACCAAGAAAATAAGAAAGAAATCACGTGCCTCTTAACATGATATACTGAAAAGAACATTACTTCTGCGGCATTTCCACTAAAATGCTTTACTGGTTCTAATTCACATGGAAACAGCAGATACATCCAAGTTGAGGGATACCATACAAAATAGCATGTACCCTTCAAAAATGTCAGTCATAAGAGGCAAAGTAGGACTGAGAAAATCTTCCAGATTAAGAATCAATTAGAGATGATTATTAAATGTTATGGAATCTTGGATTGAATCCTGTGGAACCAAAACAAAACAATTTTCCATAAAAGACATTCATGGCTAAATTGGCAATATTTGGATAAGGTAGATTGAGTACAGGGAATTATATCAATATAGTTTCCTGATTTTAATAATTGAATTCATGAAAAAAAAATAGTCCTTGCTTTTAGGAAATACACAAGAGTATTTAGGGGCAAGAACATAGTGTATGTAACATTTTTCTATATGTTTTCTCTTTTTCCTCTCCACTGATTCTCTCTCAACCACCCCATCTCCCACCCACTCTTAGTGTTGCTAGAGTGATAGCAACCTCAACCTCATAGGATACATATGGGAAAGAAAAATCCCCTTCTCCCTCCTAATAGTCTTCTAGTCTCCTTCTAGCATTCTCTCCCTTTCCCCTGCCTCATTGGTTGGCTGACTGGTCAGGCAGCAATGAGGTTTGCATAGTTTCACCTTTATTATCAAATCAAAGATAAAAGGGTGGATTTGAAGCTGAGACACAACACTTTCTTGTATCTTAACCCATTAAGAGTTTTCTAGAATGCACCCTCATGACTTCTACTTCAGTATAAGAGACAGCCTGGGAGAGGGAGTTTTATGCTGCTTTTCAGGTAGACAGGACTCTGGCCTCTGCCCACTCAAAATTCTTAGTGACATTTTCTTCAAGGGGACATGTTATCATGTGGGAAGTAAGTCATCTTCTTTATTCTTGGGGCTAGAAGTTCCTATAAAATCCTCAATAAGTTTTTTATAACACCAATATTGGTATCTGCAGTTGAGAATCCACTATTATGCGCTCCTTCTCCAGGGAAGAACATTTAGAGATTATCTAACATGCTCCTTTAGACTTTATTGTATGCAAAATACTTCCATTCCATGATGAATGTCTCTCCCTCCCAATAGCATAACCAGATCTCTCTGAATTTGACCTTCTGGGCTGAGATGTTTTGTCTGTTTATTAGATTATGTGAGCTCTCTGGGGTCTCTTCTCTACTGTTCCTCCTAAGAGCCTTAACTATTGGACAGTACCTGTAGGTCATAACCATCCATGGACAACACATCAACTTAAGTGGAGTCAGGGGGAATGCAGTTGTCTGGGCACCTCCAGTGGCTGCCCCTCATGCTTCCATGACTCAGCCTCAGCATGGATGAAGTAATAGAGAAATATAGCAGAACTGTGGGTTTTATTTCAGACACTTTGCCCTTTCTTTGCCCAAATGAATAAAGCAGGAGCTAGAAGAGGTAGGAAATGAAATGTAATCTCTGTCTCCTCCCTTTGTCTCCTGAGGACCTGCTCCACGGTTTTTTTTATGATAGGAGTCCTCAGTTGAGTTTTTAAGGACTGGGGGATTATCAGCCTGAACCTGGTCCAGTAATAATTCTCATTGTTGACCAATTTTATTATATAATTATTCTCAGAGTACAGTTCAAATGCTCTATAGTGTCTACTTATATAATGTGTAGTGAGCCGGCATGGCCATGGCATACTCAGCCTCAGGGCACCTTATGTGCCATGCCAGCTCAGCCAGGTTCAGTGACCATGAGAGGGGGCGGTGAAGGATTGAAAAAAGACAGACAAAAGAATGAAAGCTGGCTCTGGTTGGGACGCTGCCTCTCTGATGGAGAGACAGCTCTAAGGACTATAAGCCTTGTCTTTATTTTATAGCCAGATGCCATGAGGCAAAGTAGGGGCGTGGTCAAGATGTTTACAATGTTCTCCTGGGTTTCAAACCTACTTAATTACATGCACCTGATTAAGCTTTGTATACTTGCAGCCTATATCACTTAGGCACATGGGGCCACCTGTTAAGACCATTGGTTGAAGCTTACAACTATAGCTATTGGCTATAATTGTGTTGGGTGGGCTCTATTCTCCAAGCTGGGACTTGCACGTAGCCAAGAGAGGATTGTGCCCTCTCATTAGTCCGAGGCTTAAACCTGTCCAAATACTGTAGCTGCTCTCCACAATAATGGAGTTATTAAATAGCCCAATTCTGCTTTTTCACCTCCTCCTGCCCTCACAATTCTCACTGCATTGGCACTGGTGTGATTTTCTACCAGCCCTTACTGAAAGGAAATACCTCATGGATGGTGCAGAATTAGGAATATGTTCTCTGAAATGGGAGAGATTTCCCTGCAATTAAGCATTTCAAAAGGGAGCCTCAAGTGAAAAGGGCAGTGAGAATAAGGCTAATCAGAAGGTCAAGGTGAGCAAATGTGGCAAGAACAAGTTAAACATGGGCAAGTTTACCACAGGATCCAGATGATCATACAGAAAATGTTAGATCTTTAGGAAGAAGCCTTTTAGTCAGGCTCTCCCGTTCATATTTAAGCCTGAGAACCAGTATTTTTAATTACAGAATTTCTCATAGACTTCAATGCATGCATCATCCCTGGTTTAAGTGGTGAAAGTTATTGATTTTGTATTTACTTAATAACTTAAAAAATTCCAGGTTTTATGTAGAAGACCTGATTGATTTGTGGCCTAATATGAACACTAAAATATAGGAGGTCACTTAAATAGCTCTGTCTCATTCCAACGAAATATACTTTCCATTGACTGCATGCTGAGAAATGTAGCAACACTAATGCAGACTCCTTTGGTTACATATGGTGAGAAGCAAACCTTGGCTCATCAATCATTCTTTCCCAGTGGCTTCGAGTAAATGAATGCAGTGCTGTGTCTTAGAAATGACTCTGTCCCAGTTTTCCTGAAACATCAATTTAAAAAAAAAACAAACTCCCTTGTTTGCAGCCAGGAGGACATGCTCATTTAAATGAAGTTGATCTGGGGAGACATATGGACATGTCTTAAACCTGGTCTGCCTGGGGCAACAGAAACATTCAGCCAGAAATACTGAGAACACAGCAGTATAAATAGGTAATTACAAGACTTAGAAGCTGGGTCGGGTGAGTGCCTAGGTTATCCTGGGACTTGACAGGGAAGATTGAAGAGCTTTGTTGGGAGGGAAGGGAACACTAAAAATGTTCTCAATATGGGTATGATCTGAGCATCCTACCCTAATGCTTGATTTGTTTTCGCTTTGCTCCTCCTTCCAAATCTTAGGTACCATGGAAAGCCTTAGTCACTAATAGGATGTTAGCTCTGCTGAGGAAGAATTACAGCTGAATGCAGAGGCTGTTCCACAGCATAGTGGAAAAAATGTAGCCTTTTTGGTTTCCTCAATAATTCGGAATCTCTTTGAGAAAATTGTGTGTCTCCTGAAATCTTTACTCTTAAGATAGAGGGAAAATCTTAAGACTAAATTGTTTTCTGCCGTATTGACAGCTCCTTGAATTCTTACACATGTGTACCCATACCACTGCCAGGTAAATAGATGCTCAATTAAATCCCAAGGAAAACCTAAAGGAATTATTTCATTAGTGAAAGGTGATAAGTGATGGGTAACATGTTTCTGGATTAGTTTTCCACCTGTTTCTGAAAATGCTGTCTAGTCTTAAATGTATTGATGATCAACTGTGTCCTGTCACTTAAATATCTGGAGTCCTATTTCCTAAGATATGTCCTCATAATGTGAGGAAGATGGGAGAGCAAAAAGGAAACCATGAAGGAAACCCTGTCTGAAATGTCCAGATTGCTGGATTTTATAAACTTGGTTCTCTGTCCCCACTCTAATCAAACATGTCTTTAGGAATAAAGTATATGGGAACCACGGGAAGTATTTAGATGCATTTTATTTAACAATCAGGCAGTAGGTATCATGGTGACCTTACAGGATTTCAGAACCTTGATTCTCAGCAAGGCCCATGTTTTTTAATGAGGACAGGAACCTCGCGCTTCCTGTAGAAAAGATTGGGGGAAAAAATTAGTTTAACCTCTGCTGACAAAGTGACGATAGGAAAAAAAACAAAATGAAAAAAGTTTAGCGTTATTTAAATTAAAGGTTTTTTAAAAATGTATTTATTAGAGAGAGAGAGTGAGAGAACCACTTTCCATTGATTTATGCATTCATTGGTTGGTTCTTGTATGTGCCCTGATTGGAAATAGAACCAGCAATCTTGGTGTCTCAGGATGAGGTTCTAACCAGCTGAGCTACCTGAATTGGTTAGAGATTTATCCCCATTTCTCTTTCTTTCATGCACTTATTCATTAATTCATTAAATATTGATTGAGAACTATTACATACACTAAGAGAATGGCAGAAAGAAAGAAAAATGTCTGTCCTTGCAGTTCTGGTGGGGAATTACAGTGAACCTCTGAAATTAATTTCTAATCCATCGTTCCTGGTGTCATTGTCCTGACCACCATGTTTCCAGGTTGAGAAAGTGGGCTCTGCAGGACCTTCTAACTGATTGATCTTTTCCCTTAAAATGCTTCTGGCATTCATATTTGTGAGATCTCACAAAAGGAAGTCATTTCTCTGTCCCATATGTTACCTGCTAGCTCTAAGCATCCTCCCTTCCTGATACTTTTCTGCTCCCCCAGCCCCACACCACCTTTCCCAAACTGGTTTCCTCTTCCCTGAGCCAAATATTTATAAATATTTTAATTGTTCCTTGTGAGGTTGTGCCCAGATCTCTCGTTCTATTCATCCTTTCCTTGAATATACTAGCTTATAAAAAAATTTTTATTTCTCTATTACTTGAGGACATGTAACTCATATATCTTTACAAATGTATTTATCTGAAACCTGCAGATTCTTCATTTTAAGATTTTTTGATGCTTTATTGTCCTATAATTATTAACCACTCATAATACTTGTAGCATATACAAGCACAAGCATCTAAACAGAGAATCCTAGTTCACTTCTTTTCTCTAACTGTGCTGTCCAGCACACTAGACACTATCCACATATGGCTATTTAAATTTAAATCAGTTAAAACTGACTAATATTAAACTTGGTTGCATTAGCCACGTTTTAAGTACTAGGGGCAGGGGCTTCCCTATTGGATAGCACAGACATAGTGCATTTCTGTCGTTGTTGTGCTGGAGAGTGCTGAAAAGAATGCACTAGTACAAAGTCATAAAGAAGACATAGAAGAAATAGGAAAAGGACCTTACTAAATATGTCTTCCAGGAGCATAATGGTCAAGGAGATAAAAGTCTCCCCATCACAAAATCCAACAACTAGGGCAGTGGTCAGGCAAACTCATTAGTCAACAGAGCCAAATATCAACAGTACAACGATTGAAATTTCTTTTGAGAGCCAAATTTTTTAAACTTAAACTATATAGGTAGGTACATTGTTATTAACTTAGGGTATGTGGTAGTTTGTGGAAGAGCCACACTCAAGGAGCCAAAGAACTAGGGGTTAAGTTGTTAAGTATACATTTATCTGGTGCTTTTAATGGGCAATAGACAGGCAATATGTACATTTGAAAAGATGTTGCACTTAAGAAAGCTACGTTTTCTCAGTACATTTAAAAATGAGAAGTTAGCTGAAACCGGTTTGGCTCAGTGAATAGAGCATCGGCCTGTGGACTGAAAGATCCCAGGTTCGATTCTGGTCAAGGGCATATACATTGGTTGCGGGCACATCCCCAGTAGGGGGCATACAGGAGGCAGCTGGTCGATGTTTCTCTCTCATCGATGTTTCTAGCTCTCTATCCCTCTCCCTTCCTCTCTGTAAAAAGTCAATAAAATATATTAAATAAATAAAAATAAATAAAAATGAGAAGTTATATTTTCTGGCAATCAAATGTTCTTCCCAAATTTACACATTTTTTTTAAATAATAGAAACAGTAAGCACGGCTGGTAAGTTTTAAAATCTAAGGGAAAACTGTGGTGTCACTTTTGTATTTCACTCTAAATATTGGGCCTTTTGGTCTTGGCACTTGGAAATTTCCCAAGTCTCAAGGCTGTTCTATTGCTTTCTCCTCCCCTTGGATAGAAACATAATGTTTGTCCTTAATGTCAACAACATAGGTCATGGGAAAATTAACAAGTGGTTTAAAGTTCCTCTTAGCAATTTTTTTACAATATGTTTTTATTGATTTTAGAAAGAGAGGAAGGGGGAGGGAGAGGGAGAAACACTAATTGGTTGCTTTCTGTATGCAACCAGGGATTACACCTAACCAGGGATTACACTGGCAACCTGGGTCTGTGCCCTGACTGGGAGTTGAACTGATGGCCTTTCAGTGCACAGGATGATGCTCAACCAACTAAGACACACTGGGCAGTGCCTCTTACAAGTCTTTAAAGTGGAATTAAATTCATCACAAAGCCAGCACCTAATGTTTTGAGTTTAAAACTTTAGGATATTATTTCTGTCTCCCTACAGGAGGGAAGAAATGGACTATTTTCACAATCCTTCTTAAACACTGAGAATTTTCTGAAATGATTTAAAGCAAACCAAGAAGTGGGTCATGTTATAGAGAATTTATACAGTGGATTAATGGAAATGTATGTAGTCACTTGAGCCTAAATCAACGTTTTAATAGCAAATCAGTTTCATGATAACTAAGTCTTCCAGGTCACTTTTGGGATATCTGTTGTTTTGATCATTTTACACCTTTAACCTGAAATAATATATATATATTATTTTATAATTATATATATATATATATATATATATATATATATATATATGATTTTTACAGAAAGGAAGGGAGAGGGATAGAGTGTTAGATCAGCTGCATCCTGTACATTCCCTACTGGGTATGTGCCCCCAATCAAGTATGTGCTCTTGGCTAGAATCTAACCTGGGACCCTTGAATCTGCAGGCCAACACTCTATCCACTGAGACAAATGAGTTAGGGCTACCTGAAATACTTGTTATGCTACTAAAATTCAGTGCCCTGTTGAAATAATATCCCTTTCATGGATCCTTTTGTGACCCTTTTAGTAAGAAGAAATCTGTGTCTTTTCTTCTCTCCTATAGCAGGTTGCTCATAGCTCATGTGATGACATTTGTCACAAGTTGCAAAAAGCTTCTTTGTGCTCACGACCTATTTTCTCTTATTCATAAACACAAGAACAGAGGTGACTAGCCCAATGCCTTGCACATGTTAAGTGTTCAGCAGCTGAGTAGGATAGAAAATCTATGACAAATCTATTTCTCTGAGTGCTTGACTCTGGTTCCCATCACTGACCTATAATCACTTCAGAAAATGAGCTTCATTGAGACTGGCTCTCAAGTTCATAAATAAAAGCATTATAAAAGTATTTTTGGTAACCTAATCTATATAATTCATACTTGAATATTTAAGGTTTTAGTAAACACAATCATTACTAACATCCAGAATGACATTTTAAATTTAAGGGTATTTTGAGTATATGAGTTTTTAAAAAATCCAGATTATCTACTGTTTTGCTGTAAAAGCATGAGTTTTTATCACACAAGTGATTTTTAAAATTCATGAACCATTCAAACACTTTTTCTCCTTTATTTCATTATCCTTGATACATTTTATGTTGTACCATATTATTAATTCATGTCTCTCCTTTGTTCATTTCCTCCCTCCCCCTTCTTATTTCTCTCCTATATGGCATAAAGAAAGCCTCCAAACATTTACAAATCCTAGCAGGCATAATTCGTTGTTTTTAATTTTCTGCTCTCAAGCATGGTGCTCAGCACTCTATTAGAATTGAGTATAAGTGAATCGAGAGATGAAGCAGGTTGAAATTTCTTTTGTATCTCACAAATCCTCAGTCTGGTACTTGACTTTGAAGCATAGCAGGAAGAGCAAGGATTAGGTCCCAGATCTGCACTTACTGCTGGTGATCTCAAGCAAGTTACATAGAGTAAAACTGAGTTTCAATTTATCCATGTGTGTAATGGGCTTCTTATTATCCTTCTATATATCAAATCGACTGAATGGTGGAACTACCTGTTGCTATGATGCACACTGACCACCAGGAGGCAGACACTCAACACAGGAGCCAAGCTCATGATTGATGAGCACAGCATTGGTGACAGGGGTCCAGGGCTGTGAGAGGGTGTAGTCTGGGCTAAGGAACCCCCCACCCCCCAGTGCACAAATGTTGTGCACCGAGCCTCTAGTTTACCTCATAGAATCTGTGTGACTATTAAGTGTCTAGCACAATGTGCAACAGAATAAATATTTCCCATCAGCACACACACACACACACACACACACACACACACACACACATACACACTCCCCATATATATATAATCCTATCATATATATAATAATAAGAAAAAAAAGATTGAAAATTACTTGATGTTTTGTTTCTCTCATGGTAAGATGAATAATATTGGTATTATTTGGGGCTTCAAGGGATAAGATATATGAAATTTGAAGACAACCAGCTTAAAGTAGATTTAAAAAGAAATTTAAGTTTGTACTTACTTATTTTCCATACATAACTCGCATTCATTAGAATAAGTTTGCCCATCAGTCCCGCAGATGGGGTTATATATCTTGGTGCATCCATTCACATTGCTGTTACATACAGCCTAAAATGGAATTAAGCAGAATCATTTTCCATTCGTTCAGTTTATAGCAAAATCTTCAAAGTGATCTTTACCTCCCTGTAGTTGCTTAAAGATGAAAGCATGATTGTATAGGGAGAGTGATACTAAGAGAAAGAATTAAAGATTTTGAGTCAGAAAGCCTGGTTTAAAGTAATGCCTATGATATTTACAAATTGTCTGACATTGGTAAATTTCTTGGTGTCTCTGAACCTCAGTCTCTTTATCTGCAAAATGGGAATGAAATTATCTATCTCATAATGGTTTTATGACATTTTAATCAGATGAGTGAATAATGTTCAAGTTTATAATTACTGCAGCTGCTAGCTTCTCTCAGGTCAGCCACACCTTGAGCATGTTCTTTGCACACTGTAGTCCATTCTCTTTGTCACTTGAAGACACTAGGTGTCTTCCACCCTTGGAGTCTTTGCACAGCCTATTTCCTCTATGTCAATAAGAACTAGCAATTATTGAATGACTACTAATGGCCAGAGGCTGTCCTAAGTGCTTTTCAGTTGTTATTCTATTTAAAAACCAACAACTATTCAATGAACTTTTTATTATACTCTTCTTCTAGTAAAGACAATGAGACATAAAGATAAACCACCCGTGACCACACAGGTATTAATTTTGGATCCAGGATTCAAATCTAGTCAATGTAGATTCTGAGCTTAGCTCTTAGCCACTTCATTCTACCACCAGCATGTCAAACTCTCCTTTATTTAAAAAGTGGCATGCGGCTCGCCAGCCGAGAGTTTGACTTGCTTGCTCTACCACTTCTCCTCACTAGTTGCACTTTGCTAATACTCATTTGCCCTTCATGGCTCAAAATAAACCTCTTACTTAGGGGCACTTTCTCTGATCACTCTAACTAGGCTAGGTTCCTAATGGTACCAGAACTTCTTTATAACACTTATCAAAAATGTAATAATTTATTTACTATGTACTTTTGGTTTGTCATCTATCTAGGTATAAATATAATGAGAAGAGGAACAGTTATTTAATATAGAGACAGAATATTTTTAGATGTTTGGTATAGAATACCTTTTCTAGAGAAAGAACCTAGTTTATTATATTCCTCTGTTCATTATTAAATAGAGCTCCACCTTGGATATCTGGAACTTTTGGAGTGAGGTTAATAAGGCTTCCACTCCAAAACCTTGTTCTACCAGATACCCCCAGAATATATAAAACCCTTTCACAGCAAGCACTGTGTGACTACATAGAAACTGCTTGTGTGTCAGTGAATTTGTCCTTTAACATGAGCCCCTGTGGGGGAACTACGGTTGGCATCTACCTGTAGTATGTTAAGCTTCACTAGCATTCTTACTTCTCATCTGGACTTCAAGCTAAACTGTAAGGTGACCACTAGAATATTCTTTGATTGGAACCATCCTGAGGAATAAGAGATTAAAAATTGTCTTTACCTTTGTTCCTGGGACATCAGCTTTAGCGTTACCTAGAAAACAAGTCAGACATGGGAAGTTGAGTCCTGAATCGGAGAAACTAGATCTATTCTATTCAAAATTCTCTGCTTCCTTTGAAGACAATGACTTCTTTGCTGGCCTCTTTCACTCCCCACTCCTTATTATTCCTATTTTCTCTCAAGGACATCTCATTGGTGTCCACTCACTCTCTTCTTGATGAAAACTCTCGATAAATTAAGCAAAAATTTGATTATGACCAAAGTATCTTAATTTGGTATTTGAAAAAAGTTGGCTCATTTCCTTGAAAATAGAAATGATGTGTTTACTGATTGAAATGTATCAGGGATTGACCAAATATCTTCTGAATGCTCACTGACATTCCCACAACCAGTCACATAGACTTTGATCTCACTATTAGTGATATAGGAAGTATAAGTATCTTTATCTCAGTTTATTGGTAAAGTTCATATAGTTAACCATGCAATAGTTACCACTAGCAGTAACCAGGTATTCTGATGTAAAACTAACTTTTGCAATTCCATTTAAGTCTCCTTTTAAGCAATGTTTAAGAAATGTTCTTGTTTTATATTAAAATTCCTCTTTCTACAGTCCTCATCCAGTGAACTTACTTCATCTCATTGGGACGGAAAGCTGTTCAAGCCTAGACTCTTAAGTCCAGAAGGTAATGTGCCCAGTAAAGCAACAGGTCAAAAGCTTTTATTAAAGTCAGAAAAAATATGCAAAATTACTTACCAGACAAACTCAACAGGGCCAAGGCACTGAGGAAAAATATGGCTGTTACCTTCATGGCTGAAGTTTTGTGTCCAGAGCGGAAAACTGCAATGAACTTACCACTTCTCTTCAGAGCCCTTGGGCTGGAAGGGCTATATAAGCAGTGGCAACCCGGGCTCCTCCTACTGCCCTGTGTCACGGGTCTCTTTGATTATTGATTGACTTCACAGTGTAGCCTCGCCTCCAGGTCTGGGTAATGTCACATGTGTACGAAAGCTGAAAGGAATACCATGGGCCTGGAATGTGCAAGGCCAAAATCCTGGCAGGAAAAGAGTTCTGGTGGTTACTAGTTTCTCTCCCTTGCCTCCTCTGTGATTTGAGAAGACATTGTTTTTCCTCAGCCCCCGTTTTTAATTCCGTTAGGTGAACTCAAAGGTCCCTTGTACTCTGTAGTTCTGGATATCTGAGCAGCTGTGGATATGTTATAAATCCTCTCCATTCTTTTTTGCTTTTCTTCAGCTTTTCCCTTTTTTATTCTTTCTCTATTTTTATATCACCCATTCACAAAGCCTAAAGTAGCTGACAGAGGGACAGATTAGAGACAGGAGAACTCAATTCCTTGAAGGGTGTGTGTGTGTGTGTGTGTGTGTGTGTGTGTGTGTGTGTGTGTGTGTGTGTGTGTATACACACGCGCACGTCCTTGCCAGAGACACTTACTAGCTCTATGATATTGGAGATGCAGTGCAATTTTGCTGTGTCTCAATTTATCCATCTGAGAATTGAAATAATAATAGCACCTAACGCAAAGTGTTGACCTTTTATTAAAAACTATGTATTGTGTCTACCATGTGTCATAGAAACAGTTCTCTACTCTCACTCATGTTTCTCATGTCTTGTGAATAGAGGCACTGGCTGCCTGTGCTTCAGCCCACCTTCTTTAGAATATTTGTATAGCAAATGCCCTTGTAGAGTGTAATAGTGTACCCTCTGTCATAAAGACGAGGTTTGTTTACGCTTAGTGTAATAAATATGCTCTTTCTCTCCATGGCAAAGCTTAAGTAGCATAGTGCACTTTTTAAAAGATTAGGGATTTTTTAAAACCTTGGCATCCTGTTCTTGTCCACACTGCGCTTTCTATTCAGGTACCACTGGGCCCTCTTCACATCATCCTGTGGAAATGGGGGCTTGAGAAACTAGAACCAATGCTGATACTCTGACTATTGCTATTGAATAATTAAGTCCCTTGTCACTGACCCAGGAGTTCATGTCTTCTGCCAGAATCCTTTAACCGTGGCAAGTTAATTTGTTATTCAAGTATTGATAGTATAACATCACAGACTCTCCCACTTCTTCACATATGTTAAGAGCTGTACTTATTGCTGTGGATACGTCAATGAATAGAAATGATAGTCTCTACTCTCATGGAGCTCCCATTGAATTTTAAATGGAGGAGACAGGCAATACAAAATAAATAATTATAAAGTATATCAGATTATGATAACTATTATGAAGAAAATGAAGAGGGAGGGTAAGCATGCTAGAGGAATTTGGAGATGGTTGTATAGATTGGTCAGAGAAGACCTTGATGATCAGATGACATTTAAAAAAATGTTTTTATTGATTTCAGAGATAGGAAGGGGGAGAGAGAGAGAGAGACATCAATAATGAGAGAGAATCATCCTAGGAATGGAGCCCACAACTCAGACAGGTGCCTTCACCAGGAATCAAACCATGATCTCTTGGTTCTTGGGTTGATGCTCAACCATTGAGCTACACTGGCTGGACTGGTTATGTGATGTTTGAACAGAGACATGAAAGAAGTGAGACATTTGAACCATATGAATATCCAAGAATCAGCACTCCAGACAAAAAGAAATAATAGCAAGTGCAAAGATCCTGAGACAGAAACTTGTTTGAGATGAACAAATATTCAGTATGATTGTCTGGAGCAATGTGATAGAAACAGATGGTAAGATAAAGTAAGAAGTGGGGGCCTAAATAATAAAGGGCCTTTGTTTTCTGACCAAAGAGAAAGCTGTTAAAGAGTTATGGTGGAGGAATGACATATGATGTTTGTTCTAAAAGGTCACTTTATCTGTTCCATGAAAATAGACCAGGAGTCAAGTGAAGCTTTTGTAATAGTCCAACCAAGAGATGAAGGTGAAAGTAGAAGGAAGAGGTCGATATTGCACTTAGGTGAATTAACACCTGTGAAACTTTTATAACAGTTGCTATCACATGGTAAACACTTGGAAATATTATTTATATTGTTACTTTATCAGTATTTTTAATGCTATTTTATCTAACCAGATTGCTCTTCTTTATGCTTATACTGAATAAATTCTTCCTAAGTCTTTAAGACTCAGTTTGAATATTGTTTCTTACTGGAAATCTTCCTTAGGTCATTTCTGGGCTTCCATGGCATTTGAGCATGCTTGGATATAACATGAAACACTGTTGAAACTCTTTGTGCTTACGACTAATTTCTTGCAGATTCTTTCAGAGCACGTGGCCTCTATTCACACTTGATTATACTTGATATTATCTCTTTCCTTGGGTTTCATGACTGCACAGTCCCCTAAATCTCCCCATATCTTCTCCATCCTGGTTTCTTCTCCATCCTCTTTATCCAGTCTTCTCACTCTCATGTGTAAAAACTTGGAGTCTCTCAAATATTGGCCCTGGGCCCCATTCATGCCTCACTTTTCATTTTCCTTAGGTGAGCTCATTCATTCACATCATAAGTTTTATATATATATATATATATATATATATATATATATATATATATATATAATATCTTCAAAATATGTATCTTTTTCCTACATCTCTGATCTTCAAAATATGTATCTTTTTCCTATATCTCTGATCTTCAGATCAGATATTAAGTGCCTTCTTAACAATGTGGACATCCTACATCACTTAAAAATTAATATAGGCTATACTGCTATTTTTATTACTCACAACAAAAAATTATTTTTAGTCACCCCATTGCTTCTGTCTCTTCCAACTGGTTGGTCAAGCCAAAACCCAAGTCTTTTCCTTGATGTTTACCATGCACCACCTTTCCACACCTTATTTATTATCAAGTTCTGTTCTTGAACCTGGGTCCTACGTAACCTCAATTCTGTACACCTCTCATCATCTTACACTGTCATATCTACAAAAATGCATGTCATAATAATTCATTTGGTATGAGAACAAACTTTGAAAAGTAAATACATATTGTACCAAAGTGTTATCCTCTGTTTCACCTGGAAGAATAATTGCTAGCTGTAACAATGTTGTTTTTCCTTCCATGGGTTGGTATAATGGGAAATCCTTTTAGGCTTCATAAGATCAATGTCCTGCCAGAATAAATACTGGCTGCCTTATGAGATGGAATGAGTATAGGCTGAAACAACTCTACCCATGTGCTAAACTCTTAGTCACATTTAATGTGTTTACATGACCTAGCTTTCCTAAATCCTCCCTTTCTTCACTTCTCTGTGTACATACCTATGTGTGCATATCATCGGGAGCTCAGGCAAACATCATTATGACCCACTCCTCTCTGTTTCAAGGACAAATCACTCATGTGAATAAAGAATGATGACAAAACTTAAGAGAACTGTTCTAATGGCTGCTGATAAAACTTGCTGGAATGGGGATGTTTGTTGGGCACCTGTTGATTTTCACATCCTGTATCCAACTTGTATTTTTATTAAAGTATAATTATATGCAATATTATATTCATTTCAGATGTATAACATAGTGATTCAACATTCACATACCTTAGATGTGATAATCATTATAAGTCTAACAACCATCTTTCTCCATACAGTTATTATGATATTGATTGTATCCTCTGTCTGTACATTACATCCCTGTGACTTACTATTTTTATAACTGGAAGTATGTACCTCTTATTCCCCTTTACTCATTTCAGGGACATGCCCAAGTTTTGACTAGTAAAAAAAAAACTACAAAAACTAGAGATATGGAGTCCAATGTATCTAGCTGACATTTGAAGATCTATTTTACTGAGCTGTGCCTTAGCTCTTCAATAATTTTATTATTATTAATAGAATTTTTATGACTTTTTTTTAAATAATCCTTTTCCTTCTATGCTTACTCTCCAAACATGTTCCAGTGGTTTTGCTAATACCCATTCTTTATAGCCTGGCTATAATATCTGGTGCTTAAATCTGTAAAATTTTAATTTCTTATTCTAATTCATAAAGCTATCATTAAATAATTATGTTAATTACATTATCATATAACTATAATTATAATCACTACTGCTAAAAATTGTCAAAAATTTCTATGCCAGGCACTGTGGTACTTTATTTTCATTATTTTTCCATCCCCACTGCATTATTTTTTAAAAAATATATTTTATTTATATTTTACAGAGAGGAAGGGAGAGGGATAGAGTCAGAAACATTGATCAGCTGCCTCCTGCACATCCCCCACTGGGGATGTGCCCACAACCAAGGTACATGCCCTTGACTAGAACTGGACCTGAGACCTTTCAGTCTGCAGGCTACCACTCTACTGACTGAGCCAAACCGGTTTTGGCCCCACTGTATTATTATTCCCACTTATAAACTGAAACACAGATATTTCAGTTGTCATATTTCTGGTCACAGAGATGAAATACTGGCATATATATTTATGATACATAAAGATATAATGCACAAATATACCGATATGCATATATAAATGTATACATATGTATGTAGACATTATATATGCACACATATATGCACATGTATACTTTCTTTATACACACACACACACACACACACACACACACGTGTGTGTGTGTATAATATATTCCTAACTTCATATCTCTTGTTCATTCTTCCTAATTGTTTCATTATGTTCCAGCACTTTTCACTTGGAAACAGTTATTTAAGTGTAATGACATGGTTAGAGCACTGACTTAAGCTTCAGGAGGCCTTGGTTCCTAATTTAATATTGCCACTGGCAACCGTCTGATGTTTTGCAAGGTCTCTTTACTCTGCCAGTTTCAGCGTCCTTCGCTTTATGTATTACAAGTATCTTCTTCTGAGTGGCTCACTTTCACACTCT